ACCAAATATCGCTGCTACCCTACAAATACATATAACATTACTATAATTCACTGTAATCATAGCGAGGTCCTTTTAAAAGCGCAGGGTAGGTTGAGCCATATGGAGGCGACCTTTCCAATACGATCAGTATTCCACAGTGGTAACTGTTTTTGCCTTCAACAATGAACACTTACGGACATGAGTCTGGGCGGTGCTAAATGGTTGTGCCCCCTTCCACACATTTATCGATGTATGTCACCCTCATCGTTGCGCGGGAGTCTTTTAGATTTATGTGTTTTTGTAAACATACTTCACTTTACACTTGCTTGAATTTCTCCATAGTTATTACACAATGATCTTGTACACACTGTGCATTGTTTACCTCATCAACCCCACCCGCGATGTGTGCCAGTCATTGTAGTTCACAAATTTGTAGCTTCGTACACATGGAAATTCAGCGTAACCTTATACAAGAACGATTTGTCAGTGTGGGTGAATGGGTTCCACCGTAATCCACGTTGCACTAGAGCGCACCGTTGGATATTGGAGCACGCAATCCAACCGGAACACGGATACGGTGGTGTAGGTCAACACCTATTTCCGTGATCACCTTGGGGTAGCTATCCGTGGTTTCCGCAGCGTATGGCCAATGTCAGACTTTGCAAACCGAGCGTCTCGCAAAGTCTGACATCAGTCTACACTTCGCCGTTGGCGCGACGAGGCGAAACTACACGCCCGCAGGGAGCAAGCCCTTGGCCGCGCGTGTTCGACCATTGACATACTCCATTTCTACAGCGATGGTGTTCCGTACAAGTGACGCCTATATTTTTGTCGTGGCATTCGTCTTGGAGTGTGCAGAGAAAACGACAAGGGGTATGTCGGAAAAGTCGAAACAAGTGACACTGCGCGTTCCACCACGAACTTGGTTACGGTAGACCTATGGAACCATACTGAGAAGTCGTTTCTGGCTAGCTTCTAAACGCCCGTGTGTGATAATCGCCAGTGCAAATCACCCTCAATCTTTGATTCGACGGTTACTGTATAAGCTCGTGTCTGGTCTGTTCCAATAAGTGGAGAGGCGGGCGCGTGGTGCAACAATTTCTGCCACCTACAGTAATTTCAACTTTGGAAGAGGAGTATGTTCCACGGTGGGTGTAAGGGCGGAAGCGAAATGACTCATGCACCCCGAAGTTCACTTCATTGCGAGAATCACAATTACTGTAGCTGGCACGAAGCTATCTCATCACATGCGTCCCCCCCTCATGCATCGACCCGTTTTTTCCATATTCTGAACAGGTTAGCTACCAGTTTGGAGATCAAAAGGGTGAGAGTTTTCAAGCTTGAGCGATATTCACCACCATCTTGTAATTGTTAGACAGCACTTCTGCCACCAGGCTTAATGGCTCTCAAATCTGACTTCACGACAAGCTTATTAAGTTAGAACTTTACCTCCTTGCTTCTGTTTTTGATTACGGTATAATCGAGAAGGCATAGTAATTCTAAAAGAGTGTCCGGTCATTCCTGACTATATCTGTTTGGGATGCGCCATGAATTCCTCTTTCATTCATAACCGTAAACATAATTGGCATTGAAAGCATTTGCCCATACAGGGACTTTCGGTGGGGTGCAAGCTGGTTACCTTTGTAATGGAGTGGTTGAAAGATTTCCCTTTTTGCGAATTTTCATAACCAACCGGCCTTGAGAACAGAATTGTGCAACTTCGTCGTCTATCCTCGATGCCAACTTTCCGGCAGCTTGTCGATCCACTCCTTACAGAAGTAGCAGAGCTTGGGACGTGAAGAAGTTGATCGATGAAACGTCGCCCTCTTCTCAGAATGTTTTCCATTCACGGAGAGACTGAAGGTGGCCAGAATGAGGTACAGGGACTGGGAGTTCGGGGTTAACGAAACGCAGAGCACCTAATGAGGACCAGTGGGAGCACTTTCCCCACTGATGATGCCTTGCCGGTAAACGGCACAGTGGTTGTATGACCTTCACATCCACGACTGCGATTTGAGCGCTGGTTGGTAATCACCCAAATCCTCTGAAGCCTTGGCCTCGCGTCGTATTAGGCCGCCTCTGTTTCCTGAACGGCAACTCGTGGAAAATGACCAGTTTAGAAAGAGCAATCAAACGACTAATCTGGTCCTAGCTCCCGTAGTTTAGAGTGGAAGGCATTGACAAGCTGCCTGTCTGAGTCGTGTGGTGAGACAGGGATGCAAATTTCTGGTCCCTCATGTCGAATCGTTTTCAAAAAATATTCACGAAAGGAGGTCGCAAATAACTTTTCGATAATCGCATGCAACTCTGTGTTTTACCCCATTTGTCATCGTTTAGAATTGGTTAGCATAAGTGGTGGGATATTTTGGTTCGGAGCCATTACACCTGAACAATTTTGAGGCTTAATGTTCTCCCGGCATTTTTTCTTCCTATTCTGAATGTCGCACAAGTTCATACGGTTCTGTCATGTGCTGATTTCGAGCATTATCATCACTTCCTGCTTGTCAAACGGGGCTCAGCACGACGCCTATCACCAACATCAGCCTGGGTAAAGCACCATACGACCCTCCTTCTCACACTTCACCAACGCTACCCTCGCCTCCATGCTGTTTCTATAGTTTTGTGGATTCTGAAACTACTGGAGACGCTCCAACCCCGCCCAGACACACTCTAGCCCCACCCACCTTTTTCCTTCAAAAGAGCTGTGGAGGTGTAGGGAGGGGTGGGGGGAAGGAGTGGAAATATGTTTGAAAATATGGTAAATGCTGCTGTAGTTTCTGCGGATTTCGTTCAAAAAAAGCCCCTCCAGAAGACCTCCTTTGCCCTACCAATCTGCGACTCGACTGCCAGCTCCACTACAAATCCCACTGGCAATTGTAAATTACAACTCCTTTGTCCATCACCAGAAACAGAAAAAGCGGGTGGATAACGTTCGTTGCGGGGGGACATCAAGTGAGTGAGCCACGCCACAACATCGGGGACAAGTTTTAGGGATAAGAATGGATTCTTTAGGAGAGCATGTCATCAGTGTTTTTTTTTTTCTACTGGCCTTCCTCCCTTCTGGGGCTATAATAGAAATGTCACTTACATATGGTTGATGCTGTAGTTTGAAGAATGACCACCCCTCCCTCCCGCACGAGGACATGAGCGCCCAAGAACAAAAAGCCAAAATATTTACCTACCTCAATTACCTTGGTACAATTGATGAATTGACCTGGAAGCTACACTATCGGTATCCTCCCAGGCATACGTTCCTTAGCTCCATGTATTCTTTGGGCAGAAACTACGAGAAACCCCAGCCAAGTACGATAATTCCCAAGTGATCTGGGTACGTCGTAAGATACAGTGTGTGGTACGTAGAAAAGGGTACGTGCGATATATTCCACGTCTATAGTGCGGTGGAGGTGTTCACGTCTGTTTCTGCTGCCATTGTCCGTGTTGCAGAAACCCTGATCATTCGAAACCTGTATTCCGGGAAATAGGCTTTTGCATTACATTTTGGTGTTTAGTTGATCACCTGGAAGGAAGCGAGATCGTTGAAACTTACTGGGAAGGTCGGGGCACTCCAAGTTTTCTGTTCAAAAGTCCAGAACAAAAGGGGTCATTAAATCCGTATGGTTACGGTAGTGGGGTCTGAAGTAGGGAAATGAAATTCTTACATCTCCGGATACGTGTGGTGACAAATCTTGATATGTTTGGGGCTGAATTAGCGTGTTGGCAATGACAGGCTGCAAGATTTGGGAAAGCCGGTACTATTTTCACCTTGTACCCTTTTTTGGATCACCCCTTTGATCGTTGTCTAGTCAATTCCTCTGGAATTAGAGGTCGGTTATACCATATCTGTGTCTAACCATTTAAATTATCCGAATTTCCATAGGCTAACTGTTTCCTTTATGTACGCAAGGTGGTATTCTGATCTTCACCTGGTACAAATAGGTGTTCTTCTTGGTCTCGTAAGATTTCTGTGATATTTGTTTCCGCTTCGTCGCTTCAAACTTTCCACTGTGGACCCTTCTCATGTTTTAAGACCTCGTTTAGTTGCAAAGAAGTGGTGGAGTTCTGTCGTGGGTGGCTGTCTGATGGACGTGGGTTTCGCGCGGCGTCTCGGGCGCTTGGTCGTCTACCGAGAGCGCTATGATCAACCACCGGAAAGCGCTTGTACGTTCGTGACAAACTCACTCATTCTTGAAGGAAAAGTCAACGTGCTCTCTGAGAAGGTGCGGTTTTGCAGGACTTGTTTTGCAGAATTTTTCTATGCTGTTGCATTTCTTGTTTAGGAAACTGCGGACTTCCTAATTTCTGTGACACCGGACAAGGATAGGCGCGACCAAGTGGCAAATGGCTTACTATACTATCTGCTCACCGATGGCGTTAATTTCAACAAGGTAGTTGGAATTAACCTAAAAAAAACTAGGTCAAAGCATGGTATCTTTTTTCAGTATTTCCGCTGCCTATCAGTTATTGCCAACGATCAGTGGTATGCAACTCTTTGTAACGTGAACATGATTCTGATAGAACTGTGGCCCAAACTGCACGAGTCATGCCGAGAACTCATGCTGCAGTTTTTTCGAGAAGCCGTTAAGCTGAATGTGCCGAAGGTAGTGATGTTACTTCTTTCACTACATCTAAAGAGGTACCAGAAATGGTTGCGACGCTAGCACCTTCTTTGTTTGGATGTTGTTCAGGCGAATTACTTCCTGAGACACATTCTCTAATGCTTTAGTTGGGGGCAGGATAGAGGTATCTGCAAGTAATTAGTGTGTCTGTAGCAGTTTTTCTACCCTTGTAGTGTCTCGACCTTCTTCAAGCGTTGTACTTTACCACAGATTTCCACATCTCGGGTTTCAAAAAGGTTGTGGATGATGAAGAGCGTCCTTCAAGTTTTGGCGTTGTTCAGTTTTTTACCTTCAGCCAAATTGGCGCTGTTTGGCACAGGGCGACGCCACCACAGATCCTAACCAAATTCGCTGTCAACTCGTTCATAGGGGGTATTTGGGGCCATGATTACGATATGACATTCGTTATTGT